CTGAAAATCAATCATGCCCTTCAGATGCATGAAAGAGCTCCACACCTTACAGCTATGATTCAGAGGAGGAAGGAATTGCAGATAGATGGATCGATGGAAATAGAGAGGACTGAGGTTGCTTTTTTAAATGTAGGTTTGCAGTGATGTATGATGCCAGTGTGTGGGAGAAGACGCTGTAGGGTTTTACAGCTAACCCTTTAAATGCCTGGCAGTGGGTATGGATGAGTAGGCTGTGAGGAGCTCTATCACTTGTATACACGTCTGGCAAAACAACAGTTGCAAGAAGGCTGCCAGTAAAAGAGACGTATGCTATGAAAGCATGTCATCTGCCTAATTATGTGAGAATTACAGCCTTGTCTGAATTGGAAATATGATATAGATGGATTGGTTTTCTCTAAAAATGATTATTGCTATTTTCCTCCTGATGCCGGGAAAAGTTGAAGGAGGGCACGTTGAGTTGAGTTGTTGTCTTCCTTTTAAAATCCCTCTAAAATGAGCCGAAACGGCCCTTTGTGGAATACATTTTTTCCTTCATTTGACGAGTAATTTATTGCTTTTCCATTTTGCGGCTAATAGCTGCGGAGTCCGGTGGGGCTGGTATTTCAAGCGACATGACATCTGTCCACTCCAGGTACTGTGTAGCCATTTGTGAGTCTGACTGCTGAGAACATTAAATCTATGGCCAGTGGACATTCATAGGAAATTTATGCAGGCAGTCTCTACGGTCTATAAACATCAAGAAACTGTAGAAAAGATACATGCTTTATAATATCTCACAGTTTGAGCTATTACCGCTGACATTCACATTAATGGCCAAAGTAACAATGTCTAATGGAGAAGTGGGAAAAAGCTGTGCCTCAAGGCTGAGAGTAGCTGTATCTCTGTTTCATACAAAAGAGGCCATACCGAAAGCAAGAAAATGCTGATTTGTATGTGTTTGTAGACACGCAGCAACAAACTAGATGTGTACACACTTGGTTTAGCGCTAATTGTGTAATTAAAGGGGGGAACAATCACAGGTAGTGAAACCATGTTGTTGACTTTAGTAATACTCAATGTTGACACTGTTTACTATGCTAACAGGATAAGTAAGAGCGTCACTCAATAATGGACTCCAGCGCTTTTCTCAGGGTTGCCAGACTGCATATTAATATGAAAGGTATGGCACAACATCTGCTGTCTGTGACGACAGTGAAACGCTGTAAAGGGAATAATGTCATGACATTTCCCTTCAAAATGATATTCTTTTCAATCGGTACAAAGGCCGGCAATTGAAATGTGTTGCAGAGTATATGGGTATTACACAAGGCTAGTTTACTTGGACAAAAATGTAATTCGGAATACAACTAATTACAGTGCACGGGTCAAGTTAGGCTTTTAAACACGAGCAGAAATTGACAGAAAGAGACACGAGCTGAGAGGAAAACGCTCCGGCGCTGTGGTAAGTCTGGCGTGGTCGCGGGTGAAAGGAGGAGAACGAGGTGCAGGAGAGCAAAATGACACACTCAGAAGCGGTGAGGCAAACGTCTCATGAGATTTAGAGTAGATTTAGCAGAGAGGAAGTGCTGTGGGGGAGGAAAGCAGTACAGAAAACTGCTCAGATCGCAGGTTTGCAGCATCTGGCCGGAGAAGTAGCCTCAGTACAAGAGGGGAGGATTCACAGAGTGGGACCATGTCAGATAGCAGCTTAGCCCTCGCCTCCGCTCAAACACACAGAGGGGGAAAATAAATATTCACTCCCTTCCCCAAGTGCAAAGACTTCTCTGAAGGGTTGTGCCTCAATGTGGTTTGATGACAGGGTTCCAAATAATCTGACAAAGTGAAAGATTTTGCTCATGAACATCACCCATAATTTATTCTTCAGTTTTTTCATAGGAAATTTATGAGTTGTCATGATTAAAAACTATTAGTGCAATTTAGGCTCATTTGGCACATTTAAATCAAAAGTTAAACATATTGCATCAAATCTGCTGTTATTTTCTGGCAAAGCTGCATCAACCAGTGACATCAGGTGGGAACAGATGAACGAAGGGGCAGAAACAAAAAATAAATAAAAAATCTACTGTCGGCGAAAGAGTAACAAAGTAAAAAGAAAAGACAGAGAAAAAAAAAGAGCACATCTTAGGATACATAGTTGCACCAGATGACGCATGAATCCAAATAAAGCAGTCAACTCTCGAAAAACAACCACCAGAAAATCCATCCCCAAAAGATACAGGCACGAGGGGATTACAGAGCCAATCGCTTATCACCCGGCTGAACATATACTGTAGCTCTGATCGGCAGAGTCAACTGGAACAGACTACAGATACAAATTTGTTGTTATTTTTCGAAGGCTGCAGTTTGAGCTGTATAGGAAAAAATACTGGGCAAAACTGTCAATTACTAAAGCATTAAAAGGGAGATTTTACATAGAAACAAAAAAATATTATACATATAAATATATATTA